TGATGTTGAACATTTCATGTATTTACTGGCCATTTGTTCTGCTTCTTCTGAAGTGTCTATTCATATCAGTTGTCTTTTATTTGGCAAAGTCTCATTTTTTTTTAGTTCTTTATATACTCTAGATATTAGTCCAGAGGTCCAAGGTGTAGCTGGCAAATTTTTTTTCCCATTCTGTAGGCTGTCCCTTGGTTATTTCCTTTGCTGGGCAGAAGCTGTTACATTTTCTTTGTTCCCATTTGTTGATTCTTGATGTTAATTCTTGGGCAACTGAGGTTCTGTTCTGAAAGTCCTTGCCTCTGACCATAACTTCAAGGGTTTTACCTATTTTGTCTTCCAGCAAGTTAAGTGTTTCTGTTTTGATATTTAGATCTTTGATCCATCTTGATTTTAGTTTAGTACGTGGTGAGATATATGGGTCTAGATTCCATCTTCTGTATGTGGATAGCCAATTTTCCCAGCACCATTTGCTAAAGAGGCTATCTTTCCTCCAGCATATGCTTTTAGCCCCTTTACCAAAGATTAAAGGTCTGAATGTATCTTGGATTGTTTATGCCTTCTCTATTCTATTCTATTTATCCACATGTCTGTTTTTGTGCAAGTATCATGATGTTTGTTGTTGTTTTATTTTTATTTATTTAGTTTTTGGTACTGGGGATCAAACTCGGAACCTTCCACTTGCAAGGCAGGCAGCAGAACCACTGAGCTAAATCCCCAGCTCTGTTTTTTGTTTTTAAATCACTGAGGCTTTGTAATGTAACTTCACATTTAGGATTCTGATGCCTCCTGTTTTCCTCTTGTTGTCTAGAGAGTCTTTTGGTGGAATTTTTTTTTTTTTGCTATTCTGGGTGCCTTCTGGTTGCATATGAATTTTAGGATTGTTTTCTCATTCTGTGAGGAATGATGTTGGTATTTTGACTGGTATTGCATTGTCTATCAGTTTTAGGAAAATAGCCATTTTGACAACATTGGTTCTGCTTATCCAAGAACAGGGGATGTCTTTCCTTTTTCCTTTTCCCCCTGTACTGGGGATTGAACTCAGGACCTCGTAAGGTAGGTGCAGGGCCACTGAGCTAAATCCCCGGCCCTCCATTTTCTGATATCCTCTTTGATCTGCCTTTTTCAGAGTATTATAGTTTACAGTATAGAAGTCTTTCATTCTTTGGTTAGGATAATTCCTATGTATTTTTCTTGATGCTATTGTTTTCCTAATTTCTTTCACGGTGGGTTCATTATTGGTGTACAGTAATGTTACCGATTTTTTTGTGTAATTTTGTATCCTGCTACACTGCTGAATTTGGCTAGTCTAGGGTGTCTTTTGGTGGAATTTTTCTTTTTGGTTTTCTGTGTAAAGGATCAGGTCATTTGCAAATTATGGTAACTTAACTTCTTTCCTATACGTATCTCTTTTATTTCTTTCTCTTGCCTGACTGATCTGGATAATGCTTCACATATTATATTAAACAGAATCAGTAATTGTGGATATCTTTGCTTGTTGCTGATTTTACAGAAGCTCTCAGCTTATCCCCATTTAAAATTTGGCATGAAGACTGTCATAAATGGCTTTTATGAGATTGAAATAAGGTCCTTCTCTACCTATTTTCTTCAGTGGTTTTTAATCATGAATAGATGCTAGATTTTGTCAAAGGCTTTTTGCACCTATTGAATTGCCCATGTGAATTTTGTCCCAACTTCTTTTTAATGTGGTATATTACATTTATTGATTTACATATGTTGAACCATCCTTGCATCCTTCAGATGAAGCCTACTTGGTCATGACGTATGATTTTTTTTTTTTTGATGATTCACTGCACTGTTTGCCAAAATTTGTTGAGAATTTTTCATATCTACATTCATTAAAGAGATTAGCCTATCATTTTTTTTTCAGTTGGGTCCTTGTCTGGTTTTGGAATTAAGGTAATGCAAGCTTCCAGGAATCAGTTTGCAAATCTTCCTTACCTTTCAATTTCATCAAAGAACTTGAGGAATATTAGTCTTACACCTTCTCTGAAACTTTTGGAATTCAGTGTTTTTTTCTTTTCTTCTTCTTTTTTTTTTGAGTTAGGGTTTTGCTGTGTAGCCCAGGCTGGTCTTGAAGTTGCAGTGATCCTCCTGCTCATGCATCACCATCCCAAGCTTAATGTACTCAACAGAATTCTTTATTTCTATGATTCCCGTTTGGCACCTTTTTTTTGATGTTTAGTTCTTTGGTAAATCTGTCATTCATGTTTTAAACAGTTTTGGTCAGTTCTTCTAATTTTTGTTTCTTCTATAACTCCAATAGTCAGTTTGCTTGTTAGTTCGACTATCCTTATTTCTCCATTAATTTTTTTTTTGGGTGTGTGTGTGTGTGTGTGTGTGTGTGTGGTTTTTTGAGACAGGTTCTATGTAGTTGAGACTGACCTGGAACTCACTATGGAGCCCAGGCTGGTCTTGAACTCACAGCGATCCTGCTGCCTCAGCCTCCCCAATGCTGGGATTACAGGTGTGCACCACCACACCCGGCTTTGGTTTGATGGTCTCTCCCTCCTCCATATACATGCCATTAGGTAGGTTGGGAGGGGAAAGAAGGCAGGGAGATGAGAAAACAATAAAGAAAAGAGAAAAAAAAATAGGGAGAAAAGAAAGTTAAAAAAAAAAAAGAAAAGAAGACTAAAATAGGGAGATCAAAGTGGAAAAAACTTAAAGAATAAAGTAAAGTAACAATAATATTAACAAAGCAGCAAAAACCAGAAGAAAAAAATGATAAGAAATCAAAACAAAAAACCAAGATACTATAAGCCAGGTCAAACAAATAAGCAAGGAAACAACCATAACATCAATTAACAAACAAACAAAAAAGTGTCATACAGTTGTTACATCATTAACCCAGACTGTCCATGTCTACACAGCACCCCCTACACTGGAGTCACACAGTCTGATTGTGTGTAGCCAAGCAGTTTCTCACTGTGGACCAGGCAACTGCCTGCCCAAAGCAGTCAGGGCTATTGCTCCCTCTGGACCAGTGTCCTGGTTGTAAGCTGTGCTCTGGGTATGAGCAACTGCAGGCTTTCATGGTGATCTCAAGATCCAACTGCCTCAATTAATTTGGAGGAAGCAAATGGGTACAGGTACATGGTATAAGCAAATGTGCCCTACTCCCAGTTCTTCAGTTTTCTCTCAGCCTCTACCAGAGACCTCTCACATTCTCTTGTTTCCTTCACTGCATGGTAATTTCTGTGCCTTCCCTCCATAGGCTTTCCCCTCCAAAGGCTTTCCTTGCCTACTGTGTGGCCAGAAGACCTCAGGCACTATTCTCCATCTCTCTGTCCACAGTTATGTGTCTCAGACCCATCCGTGAAACCTAGGGCTGCCCCTGGACTTAGCAGAGGGACCCCCTTTGCCTGCATGGGGTGGGGTACAGGACCTCAAATTATCTTAGGCCTTTCCTTTGTTTGGGGAAGCATAAGGAGAGTACCCACTCTATTCTGGCTCCTACAAATTGCCTTTTGATTTGGGTACCAGTGTCTGCCTTTCCTTTTACAGATCTCCCACACTTCTCTACTCCATGTACTTGTCCCAGTCCCAGGTCTCCCCGGAGTTCCCTACCAGGAGGTCCCTGGGGGTCCATGGAGGAACCTGCCAGAAACTGAAAGTAGTATGCTGAATGCCCAACAAGCACAGCATTCCCACTGTAAGAGGGGAGAACGAGTAACTTATTTTTTTCTGTTGGACAAGCCTCTCTCTTCCCATAGACTTGCTGCTAGCAGGTCCTTTGGCACTATTGTTTTCAGGATGCATTTTGTCTTGCCCTGTTCTGCTTTCAGCTTTGCTGAATCCCCAGCTCACATGTATCTCACTCACCATGCCTAGTTGGGAGGTCTGAGTGATTATGAGCCTATTCCATTACCTAGGTCATTACTGAAGGGCTAGCTCTCTCCCTCAGTCAGATCTCTTGGGTCTGGTTTGGGTACCATGATCCAGCTGTTTGGTTTTCCTTCATACATTCCCTAAGCAATGGATTTTGGTCCAGTTAGAGTCTCCTTTATCAGACCCCATCTTTCACTCCCACCTCAGGGTACCTGCTTTTATCCAGTGCTAATGTGGAGATATTTACCCTTGTTGCCCTCTGGATAGCCATCTTCTCTATATAGCCTGATTGTTTTAGTACTAATATAATGAAGAACTTGCTGAATTACACTTGATGCTAGATTTCTAAAGCCAAGAATGCATTTACTAATCACATACTATGTTTCTCAAACATGCAACGAAGAGCCTTTAGGTGGTATGAAGGAATTATACAAAATCTGTTAAGTTGAATTCTACTGATATTATACATTGCTTTTAAATAAAAATGATAAATGAAAAGTATTTCCAAATAGTTCACCAGGAAAAAGGATATGTATCCCAGAAAATGTGAGAAGAACATGCATAAAGAGGAGTTAGGGGTTAGTTAAAAGAGGAAAAGAGGACAAACTTTGATATTCTCATAAAATGTATAAATATACTAAGAAATAACACCTAAAGCAAGAAGTGAGTAAATTGGGTTTGAATTCAGGAAAATTTATTACAGCTAATATTTAAGAATATCTTGATAAACATACTAGTTCTTTGTTCCTTAACTGGAGTTCTCAAAAATGATGATTAAAATCTATTAGACTTATGCTATTTTAACAAATCAACTACATATAAATCTAAGATAAACTGTATGAAAATAAAATATTTTCATGTTTACTTTTATGTTATTGCTGTCAGACTCAAATCCTGAGTTTCCAATTTAACTAGTAAAACTAAGAAATTTTCAAATAGCTATTAGGTATTTCTGCAGCTCTACTGTTTAAAGACATGTAAGATAAAGGCTTATGGCAAAGAACTTTTGTGCAGGTAAAAATTACTGTGAATCACTGAATTTTCCTTACTGAAAAAAGGACAAAAGGAAAATGAATAAAATAAGCAACTTTAATAAAGCATGTTACAACACACAATTTTTTCCCCAGCTCAAGAGTGACTGGTCACACACTTACCTTCTCCATGTGGCAATAAATGACTGTGCTGACACAAATCCTGTCTTCTCTCCCCCTGCAGCCCTAAACATGGGGGCTTTCCAATAGAGAGGACAGCCACAGATCTGCAAATAAAAAATAAAACAGTGGGCCAACAGACAATGACACGGCCAAACAAAAGGTCTTTGTGTGGCTTTTACCATTCTTGCCACAGTGGACAGAAGAATCCTTAGGGGAATACAACTGGGGTTGGGGCAAATACATCATGTAGGGTAGATTTAAGGGAGGAATGAAAGACGGGAAATAAGAGGGTTATATACATATTTTGTGAAGAAAATGGAAAAACACTTAGCTTTTCCCCATGTTCATTTATAGTGATACTCTCAGATCTGATAGTAAAGAAAGCAGCTTCCCTTTCTGCTACTGTTACATCATATATTTTCTACCTTCTAGGAAAAAATAGAAATGATTGAGTATAATGGTTGTGCAGAAAAGTGCAGTCACCTTTATTATTGGCCACATGTTATTAAAACACTACTATGTATTCTTTTCCTCTCTTTTGTCTAGTATAAAATCTTAAGTTCAAGGACCAGAAAACTCTAATTGGTCTGTTCAAGAAAATAGCTATTAAATGGTTATAATTCAAGTAAGTGACAAAAGGTAAAAAAAAAAAAAAAACATCATTTATGTATTAAAAGTCATTTATATATCAGAAGCATATTATAAAAGCCTTAGTAAGAACTGGGAAAAAATTTTTAAAAATACCTTAAAAAGTATTGACTTTTTTTCTTTAATAAAAGAATCTTCTTTCGAATAAAAAAAATTGTTTTACTGTCTTACTCTTGTAAGAGAGTTCTTACTAAATTTACCTGTTTTTTCCTTAGAGGGAAAACTATTTTCTACAATTAATAATATTTAACTATTAGAAGAGAATTAGTCTCAAAATCTTCCTAATTTTTTTACATACACATAAAATATGTTCCAAAATCTAGAACTCTTTAAAGAGTCACATCTAATCTCTGTTGAATTATCCTTTTATAGAAGATTCTCCTTTGGAGGTGGACTAGATGTGTATCACATTAAGTTTAGGTGAACTGCTTCTGGTGTGAGGCCTCAGTGCACAGAGGATCCCAGAGGAGCTTGAAGACTACCTCATCTGACTTTAGTTATCCCAAGAGACTGCTCAAAGCTGCTGCTGGTTCTTGCCAAAGATGAAGACACGGAAAGAAAAAGGCAAGCCATGGGAGGTAAGGAAAGGGCAGAAATAAGTGGCTGCTGCCACTGTGGCCAAGAAAGAATGTTGTATAATCAGAGTAAAGTTTAAGATTTCTTAAATCCAGAGGTTGACTATCTCCACTGAGATCAAGAATGAGGGAAAGGTATTGCTTAGTAACCACTTGATTTTGTTTATTGTATAAATTATGCTCACCAAAGTACAAAGCTCACAATTCATACACTTAGGGTGTGTACAAAATTCAGTTTCCCTAATTCCAGTCCAGTCTTTCATGTTGAATAGGTTGCCAAGGAAATGCTCTTAGCTGAAGTGACTGGCTATTGCAACTTCTGGAAAAGCTAAAACAGTAGTCTATACTGTGGAGTTGGGGAACCCAAACAGTACAGAGAAAGACTACTACTGGCTTGTCAAAGGGCCTGAAACTTCCATCACCAGAATTGCTTATGAATTCTTTAGAACTGGAAAGGATCAGAAGTCTTCTACCTTGACATTGGGAAAGTCACCAGCCTCAGATAAAATACTCCCAGGGTCTGTCTGCTTACCACACACTGTGGGGCAATTTCCCTATTGAACAATTTTCAGCCCCTCGTATAAGGTGTTTTCTTCAAAAGACTCTCTGTTAAAGTGTATGAACTTATGGACCAAAGGAAAAACTCTAAGATGCAAGATACATAAGGAAAATATTTTGAATAGACTAAAGGTCAGCCTTTTCTTATACCGAAGTACCCTGAGTACCCAAGTGTTAGGCAGTTTGAAGATAGCAGGCCCTTGGAGAAAATGCCAATGGGGGAAAATGGAAGAGGTAGGCAAGCAAGGGCTGAGGACATTAAACTTTGACTATTTAAAAAAATGTATGGCTGGCCTGTATCTATGTAAAATCAAAGAATTAGACAAGGGGAGCCAGGAGATCAAAGAGAACCTAAAGAATAAATGATAATAATCTGAAGGCAACAAAATATAATTTTTATTAACACAGGTGAGAACAAAGCAGTGTGAAGTCCTTTTTTTTTTTTAACAGAATTACCATGCAGAAGAGAGAGAGAGAAGGTATTTTAATTCTATTTTGCAGAGGAAGAAGTTCAAGTATAGCCAGAAGAGAAGTGACAGAGGGCTTTACATGGTTCAGAACAGAGCTTTATTCTTTCTCTTCAACTTTCTGCTAGAGGATAAAACTTCATGATGAATCTTCTGGCCCAGTGTCTAACAAATGTTTTCCCGTTACTGAGATTTTGTTTCTATTTTGTTTTCTACACTACTTTTTTCCTTCTTAGGTTCATTCTCCTTTTGTTTTTTTCTCCATTAAGTACAAACTACACACCAAGAACTGAACCAGACATAGGCATTAAAGCTCTCTAAGGCTGTCTGAGGTTTAAGATGAACAGGATAAACTATACCGACAGATACAGATTTCATAAACACAATTGGCTCTGCACTTAAAAAACAGAGCGCAGTCTTTATGGCTGTACTTACATGCCACTTACATTGCAAACTGAAGCTGGTCTTCCAAAGAACTTTATAAACTATAATAATCCATAAACATATTCACTTACTGCTTTGATGGTTTCACCCCCTGACCCTAAAAGGGTACCTCTCTTCTGCCTTTCATAAGTTAACGTGTTGTAAGAATATGGGCAGTATGTGTTGCACGCAGTATTCACTGTTTCCTGGTCTAAACAAAACAAAACAAAAACAAAAACAAAAAAACCCATTCACAGTTAAAGAATGACTGGAAATAAGGGTTACATAACGAATGCTAAGAGTGTGTTACAACCAAATAAAAGCTGGATTAAACAAAAACTGGCTAATGGGAAGACATGTTTGAATCAATTTTAAATAAATTGTTTTAAGAATAGAGAGGCAAAATGGCTGGGGATTTAGCTCAGTGATTCCACTGCCTGCCTCACAAGTGCAAGGTCCTGAGTTTGATCCCTGGTACCAAAAAAACAAAAAAGGAATACAGAGGCAAAATATAAAATGAGCTGGTTCAGTTATCAAAAATAAAACACAAACTGACATACTCATGATAAGTTTTGAGGTCATCATATAAATCCTTATTTTTATATGCAAAGCTAGTTTTAATTTTTTAAAGGTATGAGCAATTTCTCTTCCTACCTGACAAAGACTTAAAATACAGAACACAAAAGCTTGGCTTCCATGAATGGAATTTAGGGCTATAATCAAGTACAATTTAGGTAAGTTAATCAGTCATATATATGTAAAATGGCTATTGTGCTACAAGATTATTAGGTATTAAACAGTGAAGTGTTATGTAAATGACTATTACTTGGCTAATCAAAATAGTTTTCTACCTTAAAAACTATTCATGTTGTCAACTTGAACACTGACAATTATCCTAACCTACATATAACTGGCAAAATTCTTCTTTTTACTTCTCACCATCCACAGACTGATCTCCCTGCTTCGACTAGGATCTTTCCTAACCCTCCTTGGACTCCCCTGGAGTTGGGCTTTCTGCTTTCCTCTCACTGAATCTAAGGAGTATAACTAGTGAGCCAGTGAGCCATGAAGCAAGGCAGGGCTATTACACTGGGGGCAGGGTGGGGAATCAGAAGGATGGAGAGGTACAGGGAGAAAGGACTTCTTGTCAGGGAAATATCTGGAGGGAAGAGGGTCAACCCAGTAGACCTCTATTCAAGAAGGGTAGGTTGCAGGACTGTGACAGGCACTAATAACTCGGATGAGCTCTCCACACACAGTGACCCCAGCTTCATATGGGAGAACTACTACACCTTAATCTGGGCAATTTCTCCTCATTTCCTACCTGAAGCGTTCCATGACACCTTCTGTCTTTCACACAAACTGTTCCCACATTAGAAATATCCCATTTGGGATTATGCAGTTAACATGTTATAAAACAAAACAATTTGAGATGTCCTAAATTTAATTACAGTGGAGAGGTTAGGGTTATTTGTAAATGAATAAAATTTCCCAACTGTAACTCCGACTATGAAGCAATAATTACTTCTCCTCCTCTCATTCCAAAGTTTCCAGTGCTTCCTGTTATCCTGTCCCTCTTATCTACAGTCATGTAGGTGACAGTGCTTTCTTTCTTCAAAGCTTGTAAGAAATGTTTTTATCTCTGGTCTGGTGGACATTTTCCAACTGATATGTAGCCCACATGCTCAAGTTGCTCAAACTGGTCCCAGGACCTGGTCCTTTTTTTTTTTTTCTTGGTTAGCATCTGTTTAAAAATAAACCCTTTTATTTCAGACATCCCCTCATTTCACGAGTTTTAACACTTTACCTCCAAATGTACACTTCATCCATCCTTGCTAGATTTTGTATTTTATATTTAGATCCACAGCTTCAGCCCATTCAGCACAATGACCCTTTTGATTCTGTCATCTAATGTAATAGTCACCTCAAAGAATTGGGTAAGAAAATGCTGAATGCCTTGGGTAAAGAGCTTGCAGTTTGATTACTAGTGGTTAGAAGTTAGCTAGTATCAGTATATGTTCAGAGAGATAAACATACATAGAAGCAGCATCAAGCCAGAAATTAAGAGGATTTGTCTCCCAATATGAAGAAGTTCTATGACTTCAGGTAAGTACTTGTGGAAATAAGTTTTCTTCATAAGTAAAACAGAATGGCAAATAGGTACGTTCTTGTTCCTAGAATGAAAGAGTTTGTTTTTCATGAGAAACATCTAGGGATCAACAAGCACATTCTAGGATGGGAAAGGGAAACAAAATAAAAGAAAATATTCCTTTCTAGTTCCTTAAACACACTAGGTACAAAACATTCAAATGCTCTGTGAGGTCAGAGTTAGGGGAGAGAATAGGGTGTTATAACAGCAGAATGGCTATACCATTTTGTTTTACTCCATCTTGTTTAAGATTAGCTTTACTTTGCAAGACTTCTCCTTGAACAGTTATTCTGTTTTAGCCTCTGCCCAGTATTGTAACTTCTGAAGAAAAACCCTTCTTAAATGGCTGAGATATTAGTTACTAGAGTCAATTATTCCAGGAAAAAAGGGGTGAAAAGGGGGAAAATTGGTCCTCAGACCTCTTAATCAGTAATGTTTCTTTAGTTTTTCAGAACCATCTGGGGTTTTCAAATACCAAGTGTGGGCCCAAAGACTTGCTAATTCTGTTTTCTAAGAGAAGGATAATGTTTAATTTTCAGGAAAATAATGTATTTATTCAAAGGATTATGGGGACTGGCCCAGGAGACAAAGGTCATTTGTAATTACAAGAATGTTCGGATTAAAGAGAAAAAGAATCCCTTGAATGATAAAGATTGTTATGGGAGCAAATCAACATGCAGGTGCTTTATCCATTTTCCCACTACCCTTTTACCGTCATCAAAAAAGACCTTTATGTATTTAAATTCTCCAAGGTAAGAATTTTGAGAATGGCAATCCTTTCATCATCTTAGAACTAGCCCTTGGATAAATCTGATTTCCTTCTCACCAATTCTATTTCCTGAATATTGGCTTTTGAGCAGTAAGCAAAATGGACTTGGGTTTAGTATCAGCATGAATGGAATGTAGGGACTTCTTCAAAAAGACAGGCTAGAAGATAGGTCTTTAATGTGGATGTTGTAGAGGTTGATAGGAGTGGAAACTCATCTTGGAGGGGAGAGGTAGGAGAGTACAAATGCAGAGGTGTGCCTGAGAGGTTAAGGAGGTCAGGCTCATTCAGGAAATAGTTTCAGGCAAGTATGGAATGATACTGGAATGCCAAAAAGAGAAGTTTTGGTTTTATCCTGAAAAACAGTAAATTTCAAACTTTTAATGTTACTCTTGAAAGGAAGAGAAGTCTTCCAAATGTGCATAGAGACTTGGGAACTTCCACTTTATATTTTACCTGCCTCCATGTGGCCTTTTATCTACTAAACCCTTCTGAAGCACAACTTGGAACCACTGCTAAATTCTGAGGTATAATATGATTTTAAAATATATACATGATAAAAATAAAACCCAAACAAACAAACAAACAAACAAGCACTGCTAGCTTGGGTGAGAATCCCAGAATACTGCTGAGCTGAGGAATGGCATGATCAACTATAACCTGATAGTTACATTCAGTGTTAATTGTTCTGGGAGGAAAATGGAAGTGTAGAATCCAGTTACAGTAGTCCTGACAGTTGGGAGCTAAAATCTTATATCAGAGATAGTTGAATGAATATATGGTAAATTACCAAAGACTTGCTTCCTAGTGTCACATCTATTTATTTCTGGGTAAAATGACAATGTTGAGATGGCCTAATAATTCCTTGTCTAATTTCAGGGCAGAATAATGATCAATAAATCGGAACAAAACAGACTCCTATTCATTATAAGGATATAGTTTCTAAAAAACAAAGCTATATAATATAGAACAGACTACCCAGCAAGGGAAATGAGCTTCTAGTCACTGAAAGCATTTAAGAAAAGAATGTATTTATGAGATGGTGATGCCTTGAAGGGATTCCTACATTAAATGGGAGGTTGGACTAGAATACCACTAAAATTTGTATTCAAACTTAAGATTCTATGAATAATGATTATAGTTTAGAGATGTATCAGGATTAAATAACTTTTTTTCAACTTGGAAAAAAGTTCTATGCAAGCTTAAAAGTAGACTAAGAGTCAGGGAAGATGGGGATATTAGGACTGCTGGAGAAATGGGGATTATTAATCAGTTAGTAAATTACCTTTGCAATCTTTCCCATTTCACAAATGTCTGCTTTCTGATCTTCAATATCCATAAAAGCAGTTTCAATTCTGCTTAGAGTCTGTTCATGGTTACTGCAGGTATCGGGGAGTCCTTCAGGAAAGTAGAACCGTGGAATGTTTATGGACAATGGTGCATTTACAACATTATTCACAGCTGGAATAGGAGAGTGAGGTTGGGGACTACTTGAAAAGGTGGCTGGAGGTGGAAGTGGTGTTTCAGGTTTCTTTTCTGGTTTATTTTGAATCTGGAAGAGAAATGGGATTGTAAGACATGAAAATTCTAAACAGTATCTACTTCTTGAGCATCCTCACCAGTAATAGGAACTCATGTATAAATATAAAAAAACCACAACTTCAAACAGTAGAAATTAAGGGCTGGGTTTACTACAGGTCAGTAAGCATGTTTCTAGGGAATGCTTCCATATAAAATAAATCAATATATTATTTGTCAATACTCAAGTTTACATAGATTTGTTTTAGAAGTCTTGCAATGTATCTTCCCATTAATCATTTGGCAGACATTTCAAAAATAATCAAAGAACAAGGTCAGTTGATACAGTGGATGTCTCATGGTACATGGCTTAGTTTCTTGGAACTGGATTAGTAAATTCCTTTTGAAGAATGTTCTTGTCTTTCTGTGAATTTCTGCTTCTCCTTCAACTGGTAGAAACAAGTTCTTTTAAAATATATAGATATAAAATTTATTTGGGGCAGAGAGCTATTTTTACTTTCTTCGCTAGTTAAACTTTGCCTAGGTGGAAGAAATTGGCAGCTTCAGAGAAAATCTTTTGTTATGAAAACTAAAGCATTTTAGTTCTGGCTAATTTACTTAACACTAGAGGCATGCCACTTTTCCCAAGGTACACATTTATTTCCTTTTTTGATATACTTTAAGAGGCAAGGGCTGTACCTATTAATTTTATCACAACCAAACTCCCTTTAGAGTTAATTAGCTCATTTATAGTTTATAACTTTTCCTTTTTCCAAAAAACATTTGAGGGATGTATTGTACAGAAATATTAAAAAGGACAGTCACAGGAGGGTGGGTGGGAAGGTGGTGGGGAGATTAAATTACTCATGATTAAGGAAAAAGGGAAGGGAGGTGTACCACCATTCAGAGAGGAGCTTGTTTTTACCATTGAAGACTAAATTAAATTCTGAGATCCTGAGCAGAGAAGGTAAAGATCCATGAAGATTTCGAGGCTTCTAATTTATATGCTAAAAACCAAGGCTCATGAACATAGCATTGTGCCAGTGCTTACATAAACTACAAAAGATAGAAACAGCTACCAAGTTTATTTTATTTTTTTGGTACCAGGGAGTGAACTCAGGACCTTGCACTTGTGAAGCAGGTGGTGGCACCACTGAGCTAAATCCCCGGCCCTGTTTATTTTAAATTCACTGTGAACCCAAAGTATTATGCAAATGTTCTCCTTCCTTAAATTACCTTAGACATATCCTTAAAGTCTGAACAATGATCCCATTTAAAACCATAGTCAAAAAAGAAACAGCTTGGAGGGAAGGAAAAGATACGAATGAAACACGAAAAAATTAACAGATAACAGTGATGGCTTACTAGTCTGTGACCTTAAGAAAGTTACTTAACCTTTTAAAATTTCAGTAATAACCTCAATTCCTTGAAAGACTGTTGTGAGGATTTAAGGAGATTATAGAATATAATGTAAAAGCTTCTGCACAGTGGTGGGAACAGATCTGTCGTCAGGAAACAAAATGAGTGACAAAGTCAAAGGGTAGGGGGTTCTCAAAAGGTTAAATTATATATATATATATATAATATGGGAACATCCTAGATTCAGTATAGGAAACAAAATGAGTGACAAAGTCAAAGGGTAGGGGGTTCTCAAAAGGTTAAATTATATATATATATATATATATAATATGGGAACATCCTTCAGATTCAGTAACTACTTCCACTTCTAAAGCAATTTGAATTACACACCATGTTTAAGAAACTGACAATCTATTCTATGTAAATATTTATTTCTTCTTTAATGAAAATTCCACAAGTATTGTTACATAGTTCCATGAGTCAGTTAAGAGTAGAAAGTATTCTTGAAATCTTAATATGACAGTTCTTTCTTCAGAGGCTTTACCTAGGTCACTTATATTATTGCCACTTCCTTTGCACTATTTAATACAGAAAGGGGTTTGTGAGAATACAAGTTCACAATCGTCAAAATTGTATCCCCAAAATGTTTTTCATGGTATGATATCTAGGGAAGTTATGGATAATTTCAGGGCAATTATGACAACAGAATTAGGGCTATTGGTGCAAGTGGGGACACACAGGCACTAGTGGGAAAGGTTGAGAGTAAGACTTTCAATGTTAACTCTGCTTTTGCTTTAATAGAAGTAAACAACTTTCAGAACAAAGGTTAAACGACATTCATAACAAAGGCTGTCAAAGCTTTTATCTGAATGGGAAAAATTTGATTATATACTATTGCTTTTCTTTGTATACTTCTCAACATATAGCAACTCACTGATAGGAAAATATTAACTCACTGGTTAATTCTATTTACAATAAGATGGTGGTGACATTTAAAAGGAAAATAATATAGGAAGAATCCAGTTATTTTGAACTTCGGGTATATCAATTTATTTTCCACTGAGTTCAATAAGAAACACATAATTTGAACCTTAAAGTAGTGTGATAAAATTGATCCTTTATAAAAATTAAATAAAACCTAGTTATATAAATTTTTACAGATTCACTGGCAAGTATAACATCTGCTCATTTTAAGTAAAGCTGTTTAAGTCTAAGATAGGAGCAGCATTAAAAAAGAATAAGCTGGGTAAAGTGCCTTAGTTAAATGAATAAACAAATAAATAAGAAAAGGGAGAGAAAAAGAAAAAAGATTTTCACGTTTTACTCAAATAACCTGAAGTTATTCTGGGTCGGAATGACTATGAAACTCTGATTTCTTGATGGAATTTGGACACCCAGCATTTGTATAGCCTTTGATTTATATTAATATTATGCAACTTGTGAGGTGAGACACTGACCCTAAGAGGTTGTAACCAAGAAAGTAGACTCTGAAAAATAGTCATCAGAGGTATAAGTCACTAAATCTCAGTTTGCTGAGGGGAGGACATTTTTTCACAATTTAGTAGAAACTGCCATTCTTCATCATGTATATTAGACATACACAATTGTCTACATATAAAAAATGGCCTTTAAAATATTACCAGTATCATTATATTAAAAAAATTCCCCTTATCTACACTTTTAGTTTTTAATACCAGAGAAACTACTCAGTATTTACTCGTGTGTCCTATTTATTTCACTTAAGAGTAATGCCTCAATGTGCATCCATTTAGCTATAAATGTTTTTAGTTTCTCATTCTTTATGGCTGAGTAGTACTCCATTTTATAGAAAAACATCTTCTTTACAAGATCAGTATATTTTTTACACAAACATTCCTTATGGATACAAATATGTTAATAACAGGCTAATGATTCAAAGTGTAAATAAGGCTTTTAACACAGAAATTCTAATTACTCAAAAATATTTCTATTAAAAATTCTAGTATTTTTCTGGCTTACTTATAAAATATTTGTTGGGTTGTATTTATTCTCTCTAAAACTGGATTCCCTCTGTACAAGAGAAAAATATGTGAGTACTGTACTCCAGGTCCAGAAGGTCTATTTTTAAACCTGTTGGAATCCCTCTACAAATAGCTTTCTGCAAATAGCTGAACAGAGAACACAGATTAATTCCTTGATATAATATCAAGACACAAGTGAGCAATAAAGTTATTTGAGTTAGTTTTAGTTCACTGGGTGGTTTTATTAGTAATGAAATATTTTAAACAAACACCCAAGTTTCAAACCTGTGTTTGCTGAAATGACTTCAACCGCTTCTTAAACCGTGATGGGAGAACAAAATCACAGCCCCTTGCCAGGAAAGCTAACTCTCCCCTTAAATCCGGGTCCCTTCGTAAAGATGTTTCCTTGATCATCATCTTTGAAAAGTGAGCATTTACTTCGCAACTGTCCGGCACACTTCTGAAGATAGTCAGATTTAATAAGTTGTCAATCTTGTCAGCAGAAAGGTATTTTTCTTATCTTCCAAAGAAATTAAATTCAAGCATTGTGCTTTCCCAGCCTCCAGGGACCACAATCCATGCTCGTCCTGACATGTAGCTGGTTCTCAAATACAGCCTGTGGCTCGCAGTATCCACTCATAATTTTCAAATTAGAAAGACAGCCTGTAAAGGGACTGTTGCTCTTTGTAGGTAGCTTTATGTCAAATTGACCTGTACATGTTGAGAATACAGAGCCTTCTGGGAAAGGAAGCACCCACTACTCTGAGTACCAAAGTTAGAAACATTACAGCTGGATCTAAAAATAGCAACTTCTCAGATAAAGCTAACTTCTTAAACTCAAAGTATATGAGGTGTCAGTAAATCCACATAAAGCAGTTTCTCCCAAACTAGGAATAAAATAATTTATAGAGCATTTTCAACTTTCACTACTTAAATTTTTCTGAAAACAGACTGAACTTCAAATCGGAAACTATTAAGAACTGTTTATTTTTATTTCTTATTTGGAGGAAATAAAATATTAAAAACCCTTTAGACCTCTCTAGTCCAAATATGGAGAAAAACAAACTTTCAATCTCAAATGGTAATTTACAAAAACAATTGTTGGTCTCAGATTTTAAAACCTTTTTTTTTTTTAAAGAGAAGACTAGCTTAATCAAATATACTTTCTTTTGAAATTAGTATAGATGTATTTTGAAAATTTATTGACAAGTGTTCAAGAAAGTGGAACAACTGAATACTGTAGACAGAAGTTTCAGATACATTATGATTGAGTAAAATTTAGCTAAACTAAGGGTATAAAAGATGATTAAACAATGATGTCATGGTACAACCTGAATTTATAAAACTTATCTTGAGGAACTTTAAATAAATCATCTCCGATTTAGAAAACATTACATCACTTTATCATACATTAAATGCTGGCCTCATCTTGTTATTTACAATAAGCATTTATGTTTAATATTTAGATTTCGGTATTTATTTTTAATCTCATCATTCAGTATTTATAGTTCTAGATTGTGAAATAAATATCATTTAAAAAACAAAACAAATAGTTTGCAATCTTCTTTTATTGTCTAATTTAGCTGGCATTAAATTCTTTACTTTTCTGATTGAGTGTAGTGGTACATGCCTGTAATTCTAGCACTCAGGAAGCTAAGGCAGGAGGATCACCTTG